AGGGCGAGGCAGCACCTGTACCAGCAGCCCGCGGAGGTGGCCCGGAGGGTCCTGCGCGACTGGCACCCCTCCGACCCCGGGATGACCCGGCACGAAAACTTCGCCAAGTACTACACGGGCCTAATCAACCAGAAGCGGGAGGAGGTGGTAGAGGAGATCCACCAGGCGGCCTATAGTGATTACTTGGCGCGTGTCGCCCCCCCCGGAGGGAGCCCACCGCGTGGGGGGGCCCCCAAACCTCCGGGGGAGGGGCCGCGGACCCCGGGCGGAGCGGGGGGGGCCAGGCCCAGGGGCCCCCGCCCGAGCGCCCCCGACCCCCGGGGGGAGCCCCTTCCGGGGCGAGGTCCAGCACGGACGGCCCCCCTCAAGAGGGAGGAGGCCCGGCAAGGGCGCGCCTGACCGAGGAGCCAGCGGAAGGCTGGGAAGCGGCCCTAGGGGATGGCCGCCCAGGACGCCCCGCCCCCCCGCCCAAAGGCGGGAACCCGAAGCAGAGGCCTCCGGAGAGACCCGTACCCGCCCGGGAGGGGGAGAGCAGGAGGGGGCTGGGCCCGAGGGCCCGCCAGATCGACCTGCTGCCAGGCGCGCGGGTGATCTACCACAGCTTGACCTACGACAACTACGTGGACGGGGTCGTGCGGGGAGCGCGGAACGACAACCCCGACTACTACGACCTGGACGTCAAGCCCTGCGCCCACATCGCGCGGATCTACCTCCCCGCGCCGCCGCCGCGCGAAGAGGGACCGCCGGAAGCGGATGCGCGCGCGACGGTGCCGGGCTGCAGCGTGCGCTGCAGTCCTCCCCCACCATCCCAGGCCCCCGGCGGGGGAGGAAAGGGGGAGGGAGGCCCGGCAACGGGTGCTCCGGGGAGAGGGGCGCCCAGTGGGCCCGGGGGCGTCCCCCCACCGGCGGGGCCCCCACCCCCGAAGGAGGGAGGTCACGGGGCGACAGCAGGGGGTGGCGCGCCAGCCCAGGGCGCGGGGGGCTCAGCTGCGCCACACAAGGCCACCCCAGCGTTCCCGGCGGCCGGGGCTCCCGCGCCGGGCAGCGGAGGGAGGAGCACGGCGCCCGCAGCGGGCGCCGGGCCCCAAGGCGCCCCCCCGCCCCCGGCGGAGCCCCCTCCACTTCGGACCGCATGCGTGATCGCAACCATGCGGGCCCCACCTTCCTCGGTCTTGGCCCTAGTGGAACGCCGCTCAGATGGGCCCCGCTCCCTGTTGCACGGGATCGAGCGGTGCGGGGAGGCGTCGGCCGTGGTTGCCGCTTGGAGGGCCCTGGACGAGCAACTCGGGGTCGCCCTCTCTCCGTCCACGAACTGCGACACCGTCCCCCACGTCTGGGAATGCCCACAGCACCCTGCGGAAGAGACCCCTGGGGCTGCTCACCCCTACGCCCGGCGGCTCCACTCCACCCAGGACAGAGCCTACTACTACCACTACCATTCGGTGCAAGGGAACCTGCGGCAGTGGAGGGACACGCCGGGCAGGGAGTACGTCCTGGTGTCGGTGGATGACCTCCGGAGGCTGCGCTTCCCCGCCGCCAGCGACCAGCGCATGATCTGGAGGGCCCTGGAGCAGGCGGAGGAAGCCCCGAGCATCAACAACCGCATAATCTTACGGTGGATGCAAATTATACGGCGTGGTGATGACTCTTACGGAGTGCACCCGTAAAACTATATACCATGAGAAGGAGGATGCATGAGGAAGAGAGGGAGAAGGAAGGAACGCTGAAGGAAGGACGACGGAAGAGAATGGGGAGGAAGCAGCAAGGCGAGTGGAGGGCAGCAAAACACAGGGGCAGGAGAAGATGATATATGGAGGGGAAAAGAGGGTAGGATCGCCTGGGGGGTCAGGCGGAGACGGCGGAAGCCGTGTCAAGAACATCAACAACAACAAAGGCATTTTGGAATCGTCTTCTGGCCTCTTGGACTGTTCCTATAGGGCTCTCTTGTGGTTTGTCATGTGGGTCTGTTGGCGGGGGCTTCCTTGGGTCCATTGGTGTTGGGTCCTCTTTGAGTCTTGGGAGCCTATTAGGATTATCTTTGAATTTTGTTGAACTGTTCATATGCATTGCTTTTATCTTTGTTTTGTTGATTTTGGGCCACTTGTTGCGTGTTCGTTTTTTTTTGTTTTTTCATATTTTGTGCTCAGCCCCATGTGTCCACATCGAGGTCCAACAACAGTTCGTCGAACACGCAGTGCGCCCACTTGCACAGCATGGACTCCGCAATGGTGTTCGGATGAACTGTGTGCGCTATACGTATGAGGCGTCCCACCAAATCTTCGTCGGCATATGTCCACCAGTATGCTGGGTTTCCAAATTCCATCGATTGGTCGATAAGGTGATCGAAAAGATGCAATTTGGGAGCCAGTTTCCACACCCTGTATCTGCGCGTGAAACTCCAGCGCGCAAGCTTGCAATACATGCTCACGACCTGTCTGCCAATGGTTTCGAGCTCGAGTCTGGTGCCTTCGCGCATGCACAGGCTCTCTGTTTGAATGATGGCGTAGAAACGGTCGAGCTGTTGGCAAACACCAAGTGCGAGTTGGTCATGCATGCCCCAATGTGGGTCGTCGAACATTCCGAATGAACGCACAAGGTGCAACGCGAACGCAGTCAAATGTCTCACGGCCGCGCCGTGAGCCTTGAGCTTCGCCCAACCTTTTGTGCCTCGAAGTCTAGCCAGTGTGAGTGTGCCCTTGATGCGAGAATGAAGACCTGTTGTGTTGTACCACTGCTTGAGATGTGATGCCAACCGATCGGCGCCAACTTCGAACGAGCTGCCGCCGAATACTTTCCGAATGCAAGCGTAAACAAACATGACGCTCCCGACGATACTGGCGGTCACCCCCAAATCCAATGTATGCAAAATGTCGACCATCACATTCTCCAAACGCAATCCGATGATACCAAATCCTGGTTGGAAGAATACTGGCACAGGCAACGCATGCAAAGCTAAATGGGCCAGGTATGCCTCATGGTTCCAGACCGTGTGTCTCCATCCTGCCTCAAGGCTCACGTCATACCAAGCCCTTTCACGATGCACATTCGATGCCCTGCAGACTGGACACATGACGTCAGCAGAATTCCACGCTGCGAAATAAAACGCCTGGCAGAAAAATTGCCAGTCTCCCCTGACTTGGCAAACCTGGCCTCGCCAGCCGTCAGCAAGTGTAGATCCGCCTCCAGTAAGGTCATACCCCTGCCAATCTTTCATCGGGGTCTGCCCTGTCAGCAAGACGTTGACACTCCAGGAGAAGGCCTTCATTAACTCGTCTAGAGTGTTCGGCAACATGCTGGACTTCCTGATGCCACTGAATAGAAAACGAGACTGAACTGATGACGTGCCGCTGGCCGCGAGGCCGTTCCACGAAAGTCCAAACGACGAGTCGTGTTTGTTGAAGCCTCCGCCATCGGCATGGAAGCCAAGAGGAATTGTTTTGCTCCGCTGTGTGCGTGGTAGATGTGGGTGCTGCTTCACGAATTTCGATTCAGCTATACCGCTCCAGAAATGTTCGCACGAATTACTTGGGCCACACAGGCGCTGCTGAAACAAATCAGGCCGCTCACTAAACAGTTTTTTTCAAAAACACATGTGGCCAAAGTACTGGATGTGGCGTGTTGGGGCCCCTCTTGGTAGGAAGCTTTATCCACTCAATCGGCGCGCACCCACTTGGCCATCCGAACACCCTCTTGAGATCACGGAATAGGTTCCCAGGAAGCTCGCCGCAAGCACCAGCATTCGCTAATCGATCAAGTCCAGTGGCACCTTGTTCGCGGGCACCATGCGAATACTCTTGAACGCGTGCAGAGCTAAGAATACCAGATCCCCAGTCTCTCTTGAGAGAGCGATAAAACGGCAATGAACAACAACTCTTGGCATCAGAAGGGGCGTTCTTTTCCAACCGCTGCCGAACCCCGCCTCTAACGCGAGGAAGATCGCTCGGTGCTGTGCTCAACTCGCCCGACGGACTAGCATCGACGTCAGTCTCTGCCAACCTCTGCCTCAGCCCGCGCTTCGCGCCGAAAACTTGCCGGCACAGCACGCACGCAAGAACGCGCGATATATGAAGTACGCGCGGCTCGCGCGAATGCATTTCTTGAGCCGCAATGGCTACGGAGAAAGAATCCCAAGCGAGAGCACATACTCAGTGACAAACTTGTTGCATAGATCGCTCAGACTCGTTAGCAAGGAAAGCTGGCTCATAGCTTATAGCCGTCATGACTTTCATCAAAGCTTCCAATCATCGTTTGAACTCTGTTAGGTGTTCTCGTAATCATGTCACCTGGGCCCCACGAGGACAATTGGGAGGTCTCACAAAGGCCCGGCACGGCATGCTGTTATTGTAATTGTTAGTGTTATTGTTTTTATTGGTTTTATTGTTGTTATTGTTGTTGATGTTGTTGATGTTGTTGATGTTGTTGATGTTGTTGATGTTGTTGATGTTGTTGATGTTGTTGATGTTGTTGATGTTGTTGTTTTTTGTTCCTGCCACGCACTTCGCACCGTCGACGACTTGCCGCAGATGCTGTTGATGTTGCCGCTAATGCTATTGATGCTGCTGCTGGCGGCGCTGCTGATGCCGCTGCTCAGCCTCAGCCTCAGCCTCAGCCTGCCTCAGCCTCAGCCTCAGCCTGCTTCAGCCTCAGCCTCAGTCTGCCTGTTGCCTCGGCCTCAGTCTGCCTGCAGCCTCGGCCTCAGCCTGTCTCAGCCTGAGCCTGCCTCAGCCTGACGGTGCGACGTGTGAACGGGTATGCGTCAAGTCAAGTTGCCCAGGCCGAGTGACAAGGTGCTGCAATGGCCGTGGCAGCGATGGCTGCACTGAGCATGAGCATGAGCATCGACAGACACATGCTGAGGATGAGGAGGAGGGGGACCATGGCTCGAGGCGAACGCACAGCTAGCAAGCGGGTACCACTCCCCGTGGTGCTCAGCAGCGCTGAAGGTGCGCAACCTCGCAGGCAAACTGCCTGAGGTGAAGCTGCCTGTACTCCACGACTCACTACTTCTTGCGCCGCTTCTTGCTGTCCTCATCCTTGTACCCGTTGTTTTTCGAGAACTCGACGATCTGCGTGTACTTCGAGCGGAGCATCTCCATCTTATCGATCAGTTTGGGAATCTCTGACGGCGGCGCCTGCTCGGTATGCATGCGCTCCAAGATCGATTTGGTAGACTTCATCTTTTTCAGGCAAGCCTCCACGTCACTGCGAAACTCGGCATGGTAGGGGTCGTTCTTCGTCTTCGCCTTGGTCCTGATGAGGCTCACGTCGAGATTCATGTCCTGAAACTCTCGCACCAACAGCGGCAGGTCGCTCTCGACTTTGGCCACCTTGAGCGCGAGAGCCTTCTTCTTCTGCTCCTCCGCGTCGGCGGGCTCTACCTTCACTGCGGTCGGGTTGACGCCGCTGCTCGATGACACGGAATCCATCAGCTCCATGTTCGGACCTCCAGTGCGCATGGCCTGCTCCACGTCGTCCCGGGAAGCATCACTGCCCGCCGTCACCAAGAACTTCTTCATCTCCTGCTCTGTCATTCGCTCCCAGTTCTTTGGCACGGCGTATTCTAAGTATTCTGGTTCGGTGCGGCCAGTGAGCGAATCTGGGTATGCTTTCAGCACTGTCCGCCACAGGGCGGCCTTGGTAGGCCCGATCTCGCGGTCCATAGCCTCCACAGACATGCGGACCACATCCGTGAACTTTGAGCTGCCGATGATCACCTCCTTGGACGCAGACACTGACTTCTGCGCGTCGCTGCAGCGGGCCTGGTGCGCGAGGAAGGCCATCATGTACTTCTCGGTGTAGCGGTTCTCTTTCGTGATCTCAGAGTCGGGGTTAGCATTGACGAATGCCTTGAGGCCTTGCTTGATGCTGTTGATCTTCTTCTGGTCGGCGGCCGCCAGCAGCCTCCTGGCGGCCTCTATCTCCTCCTCAGTAAGCTCACACGCCACGGATGACAGCTTCGCAGCGGCCCGTTTCGGCGGCATCTCCAGTGGGCGCGCCGAGTTGCGCCTCAAGAGAGTGCTCGAGAGAAGAAAAAACGGCTGCGGTCTGGATGAGTTGGGGGGAGGGGGGGGGCTGTTTGGTGAGGGCGAGAACGAGGACGCAGGACGCTCTGCTCAGGAACGGCAGCCGACAACTTTAGCAGGGTCATTCGCCCGAGATGCCTCAGGACATCGTTGGATCAAGGTGTTTTCCTAATTCCACTCGTTGATTGGCCAGCACACATCCGACTTCCAAAATTGAAGAGTAAATTGAAGAATAGCTATTATTCATCAATCTATTCTTCAATTATTCTTCAATCGATCATTTCATATATATATATATATATATATATGTTTTTATCGATTGAAGAGTAATTGAAGAATAGATTGAAGAATAGCTATTCTTCAATTACTCTTCAATCGATCATTTCATATATATATATGTTTTTATCGATTGAAGAGTAATTGAATAATAGATTGAAGAATAGCTATTCTTCAACTTACTCTTCACTTTGTTGTTCTGACTTGCTATCCGACGTTGCAAGGAGGCCAAACTGTTTTCACACAGTGAGAGAGGGCGCACGAACAAGACAGCAAGTACGCGTGGCCGTGGTCTATCGCCACCTCTGCAGCAGCACGACCGCGGGCAATCTATACAAACAGACTGAGCGAGCAGCACCAATCAGTCCGAGCCCGAGTCACTGCCAGAGTCTGAGACGAGCGGGGCGTCGTCGGAATCCCCAGGACCCTCGAGAGGCACAGCTGATGGCCTCTTCAACGTAGGCTTTGCCTTCGGCTTGCCCTTCGCCTTCTTCTTCTTCTTGCCGTTCGACTTGTCAGGCGTTGACGGCTTGTCTGCGGCCGCCTTGCCCGTCGCCGCCCTTTTCTTCTCGCCCTTGTCTGCAGCCGCCATGTTCGACGCCGCCCCCTTCTTCTTGCGGTTGCCCGTGGAGTGAACGGCGCCCTTCGTCCGTGCGCCTTGTCCGACGTCTGGTCCGCCGAAGAGCGCCTTCTCGTCGACCTCGTCCTCGTCAGCGTCGCCCTCCTTCGTCTCGTCGCAGCCGCTCAACTTCGGCGGCATGCACTTCTTCAGGTTGAGCACCCTCGTGGTAAACTTCTCGTAGCCGTCGCGGACGTCGTTCACGATCCCGTCGATGTTCTCGATGCTCCAGCGGCGATCATTTTGCTCGTTGGTGAAGGTATTCATCTCCTGCAGAAGTGTCCAAACATCAGCACGCAGCCTCTGGTTCCACGTGTTGTCCTCCAGGCATTCGAGCCAACTGCTCGCGACAGTGATGAGGTCGGTGAACTTGGTCACGTACTTGGATGCCTCTTCCACTTTCGCCATATAGCTCGAAACTGGTGGACCTGCATACTCTGGTTCACCTCCAGGCCCCTCAGGTTCTTGGGAGTCTAGTGCGATCACTCCAGGGACCAGCAGTGGATGTGGCTCTGACGGCCCAGCCAGCGGCGCCGCTGGCGGCTCTGCTGGCCCCGCCGCTGCTGGCGCTGCACCTGGAGCAGGTGGTGCTCGGCGAGATGGCACAATCTCCCCTGCGATGCCAAGGCGGTGGCCCTGTCCCGCAAACGCCACGAACTCGCGGTCGGCGCGAGCGTCCTCGCCCATGGCGTGGACTCGCCGAGTTGGAGAAAACGCAAGCCCACGAACCGGTTTGGTCCAAAATGGCTACAGACGGTTGTTGTTGAAGACCATGGGGCTGCATTGGGCGTATTGTTGTTCCCGTGCCCTTGTTGTTGCTATTGCTCAATCGATTGAAGAGTAATTGAAGAATAGATTGAAGAATAGCTATTCTTCAATTTACTCTTCAATTTACTCTTGAATTTACTCTTCATTTTACTCTTCAATTTACTCTTCAATTTGTTGTTCAAGGAGGCCAAACTGTTTTCACACAGTGACAGAGGCGCAGAGACTCAAGAGCTCCTGGAGGCCTAAGGCTTGAAGCATTCACAACGTCGTTCGGACGCATCGCCCTGCTAAACGGTATTTGCAAATCAAGTGCGATGGAATTCTGTTTTGAATCATGTAATCTTTGAGTCTACCCTTCACTATGCTATTCAATCGATTCCTGTTCAATCTACTCTTCAATATACTCTTCAATATACTGTCCAATCTACTCATCTATCCACTGTCTAATCTACTCTTCAACCTACTCGTCAATCTACTCTTTAATCTACTCTTCAATCTACTCTTCAATATACTCTTCAATCTACTCTTTAATCTACTCTTCAATCTACTCTTCAATCTACTCTTCAATCTACTCTTCAATCTACTCTTCGATCTACTCTTCAATCTATGTCCCAATCTACTCTTCAATATATTCTTCAACCTACCCTTCAATCGGTTGTTCAATATACTGACAACCCTGAAAGAACCTCGGCCGTAGACAACCCCAGACAACCCTGAAAGAACCTCGGCCCTGGACAATCCTACGATACACCCCAGACAACCCTGAAAGAACCTCGGCCCTAGAAACATCCCTAGAAGCTCAGTCAAGGGCACATCAGGCCCATGAGAAGCACGATCACACGGCCGAGCGCCAATAGCCGTAACCCAGCACGGAGCGGAGGAGAGAGGCGAAGCCTTGCAATTGAAGTTCAGACACTGGCGATCTGGAGTAGGAGGAGGACGGGCAGGAGGAGCATAAAGAACAAGATGAGTGCAAATATACCACGGCAGGTTTTCAAGACAAGGCCAGCAACAGACTGGTAACATTCTGAAGCACGTCTGCGAAAGCGAGCCCCGATTCGCCTTCGTCATCCCTCATTGAACTCCCCCTCGGAGCTCGAGACTTATCCTCTGTAGCCGACGGCCTTCTCCCAGCGCTCGATCATCTTCTTTGCGTACTTCGTGGCTGCAAGTTTGGCCCTCTCGTTGTCCCAGCCCTGCCGCAGGCGAAACTTCTTCTCGAGGTGCCATGCGTTACTATGAGCTCGGTTCCGAAGCACGATCATCGGTACTCCAGTGACGCCGATGTACTTTGCAATGGGGTCGACCGTCTTCTCCGTGTCTCCGACGGTGGCGTCAGTGGTCGGCTTGCTCTTCTTGCTCTTCATCGGGACTTTCGGTGGGTGTGCTCCGTGCTTCCTTACCTTCTTATTCTTCTTCTTCTTCGTCTTCCTCTCCCCATTCGCGTTGCCACCCTTGTCCTCCTGCTGCTGCTCGTCGCCGCCCTCGTCGTCAGTAGAATGCACGGGCTCAGCCCCAACGCCGCGCGCAGCCTTGGCGGCCTTACGCGTTGCGGCAGGGTACTCTTGGGGAGCTGGGCCAACAGGTGGGTCGGCAGCTAGCATTGCAAGGTCCGCTGCCGTCAACGACTGCTTCGATGAGGTCGAACTCGTCGCCACATGTGTCTTCGACTGGCCGAAGATCCTCTTCTCCAAAGAGTCGTCGCTGTCTACTGCGATGTCCTCGTCACCGCCATTCATGCTGACGTCGCTGATCTCCACCAGGTCGACGGGCGCCGTCTTCTCGACAGGCACCGCGGACGGGATGTCCTGTTTGCCTCGTAGTCGGCGGCAGGTGGCATCAGTCGGGCCAGACAACCTCATCATATTGATCAGGATTGCGAGCTGCTGGAAATTGCGAGGCGGTCCAAGGTCACGGCGCTTCCGATCGAGAAGAGTTTGCAGCATCATGCGAAGGTTCAGCACGCACTTGTCCGACTCGGCAGGCGACCATGCCATGCCATGGGCTGCCAGCCAGGCGGAAAATTGGCGATGAAAACTCTGTTGATGAGGAATCAGCCCGCCCGTTGCCAAGAGAATCGCATGGAGCTCGTCGAACGACTTTCTCACTGACGGCCAGTCGCTGGTATGGCCACCCTTCGTGACTCTGTCTAGAGCCCACAATGATTTAGGCGAGCATGTTGCAAGCTTTACATTCTGATCGAAAATAATATTCGCCTGGGCGTCGTCAAGATCGCACCCTGGAGTACGATGAGACGCCATTCAGCCAAAACGGCTATACGACATATGTTTCTGTGCGTTGCGTTTGCGTGTCGTGATTTACTTTGTGTCGGAGAAGTTCAGTCTAAGATACCTTCCGACAAAATGTTTGCGTTTCGCTTGAGACATCCTCAGAATTCTGGGATCTGCGCTTTGATGCTTTCGCCTTAGGCATTTCAAAATCAGCCGTTTCGCCTGGGACATCCTCAAACAATGGCATGTTATTTAACTTTGGATCGAATCGGAGGCGGAGGTGACCGTGGCTTTCGTGATGAAGATCGGTTCGTAATACACCCCCACCCTCGAGTAGTGGAAGCGAAGAAGCATGACGAAGATGATGCGGTAAGTGAGAAGATGGCGAGATAAACGAGGAGGAAGAGAGGGATTGGAGGATGCATAGCGTAACGGCCGCCACCCAGTTCAGACGAAGAGCAGGAGAGCAGGATGAGGGGGGGGAGTCAAGGATGAGGATTGGCGTAACGGCCGCCACCCAGAGCAGGAGGAGGACGAGGATTGGCGTAACGGCCGCCACCCAGAGCAGGAGGACAAGGATTGGCGTAACGGCCGCCACCCTGCGAGGGGAGGAAGGGAGGATTAGCGTAACGGCCGCCACCCAGCGAGGAAGGATGAGGGCAAGGTAGTATTGGCGTAACGGCCGCCACCCAGTTGATTGAAATTCCTCCGCCTCCTTCCTGATACACACACGCGCACGCAAGCACACGCGCACGCACACACGCGCAAACCCACGCATGATATATCATCGATGCTCCTCCGCCACCGCCTTAAATAAAGGAGAAACGAGGAGAGATGGAAGAATGATTGAGGGCATGGCTGCTACCCAGACATAAACAATGGCGACTGCACCAGCAATGGCAAACAACAGTGGACATAACCAGGACGGCATCGCCAATGCATCTTTTCAGTGGAGCTGGCTTTTCCTCTGTTCCTAGATCAGAAGCTCTATAGTGGCACACGTAGTAAGATATTTCGACGTGACGGTCAGCATTCGTGAACACTTGTTCGCATGAGTGAGCCCCGCAACTAGTTTTGAGGACAACCCTTAAAACCATATCGTTCAGTGAATTTACGGTATTACCTTATGTCTTAAGGTTTTTCGCAATGCGTTTTGAAGTATTTCTTGGTTTTAAGGGTAGTATTTGAGGGAATCCCTTTAATCCTTGTGCAAACCACCCGCAATTCAACATGAATCCGTTGATTCGTAAGGAATCCTCATTTAAATGAGGTTGTTGATGGTCGGGGAGTGGAGCGAGTCCGGGCGCGTGCCCAGCCGGAGCCCCCGCCGGAGGGGGCGGCGGGCGCCGCGCCCGCATCCGGGACGGCGGGGGGAGCGGCAGGCGCCGACCCATTCGCCGCCCGGCCCAGCCTCCGGATCACGCTCCAGGGGATAGCGGGCCCCCAGCACGTCGAGGAGCGTCACCGTCTCCTCCGGGCGCGCCTCATCACCCTCTTGGGCGTCCTCGACACGCCCGGTGACCGGGAAGCCCGGGGCTGCACGCACGAAGACCTTGTGGCCTCCCTGGAGGAGTCGTACTCCGAGGTTCACCTGGTGTTCTTCTCGGAGTCGCGGCGCGCCCTCGCGTTCGCCTCCGGGGTCGGGCCCCCGGAGCTCACCCGCAGGCCCGAGGCCGCAAAGAAGCTACTCGAGGAAGGAGATCATGAGGGGGCCCTCCATGCGGCCCTGGGACCCGGGGTGGCCCCGGTGCAGCGACGGGCGGAGGGGGGCCTCGACCCCGCGCGGGAAGCGGAAGAGCCTCCCCCGGAGGAGCCACCCCCGGCACCCGCAGACCTCGGGAGCGCGCCGGTGGTCCCCGGCCCTGCTGGACCGGCGCAAGGAGAAGCCCAGGACGATTCGGGGGAGTCGGGCGGGGGCGCAAGAGGAGCGCACGAGGAGGACCCCGACGAGGATCCTTACGACTGGGTGGCCAGCTGGATCCCGGAAGGGATGGCGGCGGACTGGGTGCGCACCCCCATGCTGCCGACGGGCGGCTACACTATCAGGGCGCCCATCCCCGCAAGCTGGGTGGAGCTGTGGAAGCCCGAGGTCCTGCAGGAGATGGGCCACTTCCCCCCGGAGCTGGCGGCGTGGCTGGATTCCACCATTCGGGTCGGGGGGGATGGATGGACCCAGTTGGATGGGTGCCCGCGGAGCCTGGACGCCCACCGCGCCCTCCCGCTCCGCTTGGAGGAGGGAGGCACGGAGACGGTCTACTACCACCCGAAGCACATGCTGCTGTTCTTCGTGGAGGCGCGGGAGGTCTACAGGCTGATGCACCTGGTCCAGGGCCCAGTCCCCCAGCACCTCAGGGCGCACCGGGATGAGCAAAACCTCCGAACGGTACGCCTCCCCCCCCCGCCGCTTCGGAAGACCGCGGAGCCCGTCGCCGGCGGGGAGGCGGACGGGGCCGCGGGGGGGCACCCCGCTGGCGCGGAGAGTGGGGGCGGGAGACCCCTCCCAGATCAGGGCGCGGAGCCGCCTCAGGACGCACCCGCTGAGGAGGGGCGGGGAGGCGGGGGCGCGGAGCCGGGAGGGGGAGCGGGCCAGAAGGGCGAGGCCGACCTTGTCGGGGCCGCCAGCCCGGCTCAGGGCGCGGCGGAGGACGGGTCTAGGCTGGAGGGACCGGCCGAGTCACCCGAGCCCCCGGAGGGCGCCCAGCCCAGGCACCCGCGCTTCCAGCTGCCGCAGGAAGGGCCCCCGGGGCCCGAGCCGGCACCCCCGGCCGAGGGTCAGGGACCCCAGGAGGCGGAGCCGGCGGCGCCGGCCGAGGACACCTTCGAGACCCGGGAGCTATTCTGGTCGGACGCGTGGCTACAAGCCCCGAGGGGAGGCGGCTTCCGCAACGTCCTGCAGGTCCTGGTGGAGACCCTCGTCGACGAGCAGAGGGCGGGGGCCTCCTCCTCCCCCGGTGGAGAGCCACCTGGGGGACTTCAGCCGCAGGGCCCAGGCGGGACTGGGCCAGACCAACGGGCGGATCGCGGAGGAGTACCTGAAGGACACGTTCGGGGAAGGCGTTCAGACCAATACCAACCCGTCCACCGGGAGGGAGTACAGGATCCCCGAGGTCATGGAGAAGTTGCAGGAGACGAGGGAGGCAGCCCTGCGGAGTAGCCTGGAAGTGACCCGGCCGGAGAAGCCCCGAGACCAGCCCGGGGCGGGCTACCCCGTTCCCCCCGCGAGGCTGGGGAGACCGACGCACGGGGCAAGGGGGGGGCCCCTACCAGCCGTGCACGGGAGGTGACCCCGGAGCCCCCGGCGGGGGCGATACTGCAGCTGGAGGAGACGGACTGAGCCGGACCCGGCCTTGTGCGGACGTCCGGGAGGCGGGTGGCCCTCTCCATGAATTCATCACGGACCCTCCTCCCTCTGGAGGGGTGGCCCCGAGTTTTTGGGGCCCCCTGCACGCGCGCCGGCCGCCGAGTCATGAACGTGTTAAGCGGCTGCGCAGGATGCGGGCAGGGTGACCCCTGCGCGGCCCCGGCCACTCTCCCCTCCCCGCCCCACGTGGCGCACTGCGCGGACATGCCCCGGTGCGTCTGGAGTGGAGCTCCCCCTAGGCGGGGCTCGGTGGTGGAGCTGGCCCGCGGCCCCCTTTTTTAATCGTCTCGTGGGGCCCCGCCCCCTGCCTGTGAGCAGTTTGCCCACTGGAGGTCGGCGGTGGCTTGGACTTTTACCGGAGGGTGGGGCCCGGGACGGGCGTGGGCGGAATGCCTGCGGCTGTGCTCGCGGTCGTCGCCAAAACAGGGCCCCCTCCTCTCTTGACAGTTGGGGGGAATATGGTCTCGTTTGGCTATGCCTAAACGGTTTTATCCCCCCCTAGGCCGCAGTGCTCTGGCTCCCTCCCCCTTTTACAATTACACAATATGAATACTACTCTCCCACTTCCCCTGATGGCGCCCGGAAGATGTTCGGCACCCCCCCGCGTACTGTTTTTTTACACACAGGATTCCCCGGAGTTGGGTTTTCGCTTGTGTTTTTTTCTAAAATGCTGCTCTCGCTGAGGCGCTGGCCTAATTTTCGGGCTCCCGCTCCTTCCGAATCGTGTTCCCGCTGCAGCGCTGGCCTCATTTCCGCGCTCCCGCTCGTTCCGAATCGTGCTCCCGCTGCAGCGCTGGCCCAATTTCTGCGCCTCTCGTTGTTCCAAAACGTGCTCCCGCTGCAGCGCCGACGTTTTCGATCCTTTTTAAGAAGCCCCAAATCTAGAAAATGATCCCCGGCAAAAACATTGGAGGTGATTACACATCCGGTGTCGATTCGTTGATTTTTGGGGCCGCAGAAAGCCCCCCCCCCCCCTTTTGGGCGGCGCCCTTTTCCGCACAGGATTCCCGGGAGTTTGGTTTTCGTCGTCTGCGTCTTTGTCGCGATTGGCAATTTCTACCTCTACCATTACTCAATATGAATGCACCTGCATCGTCGTCTGCGTCTTTGTCGCGATTGGCAATTTCTACCTCTACCATTACTCAATATGAATGCACTTGCACAACTCTGACATCGGACCCACTCTACCATTACCCAATATGAATGCTACTCTCCTTTCACCCCTGCAGAAATTTGAGATCCGGGTGGGGGACGCGCGTAACGGCAGCGGGCAGCTGGCGCGGGTGCCGCTCCGGCGCGGTCGCGTCGTCGTCGTCGTCGTCTTCGTCGCCGGTCGTCCTCATCGTCGTCGTCGTCGTCGTCGCCGCCGTCGTCGTCGTCGTCGTGGTTGTCGTCGTCGTCGTCGTCTTCGTCGTCGTCGTCTTCGTTTTCATCGCGCCGTCGTCCTCCTCCTTTCCCGCTTTGGTGAGAGGACAATGAAGTAGCTCAATGGGAAGGGATGGGAGGGAGGGGTAGGATGTCAGATGTTGACGCGAGCGCACCTAGCTTGTCCCTTTCCCCTCTTCCGCAGCCGTCTGTGCTTCGAGCTGTGCTTTTCCACCTCCCACCCCACAACTTTTTTCAAGGAGCTGTTCCCTGGAGTCCCCTTCGTCAGTCGGAGAGCTCCAGGGCGGAATGCCTGCGGCTGTGCTCGCGGTCGTCGCCAAAACAGGGCCCCCTCCTCTCTTGACAGTTAACGGAGTTTGGGGGGAATATGTAGATCATCCTATAGTGAACAGGACACGCTAGACCAATCATGCCACAACCGAGCTGTTTCATTCTTGCTACCAACGCGACAACGAGCTTGATATACCGTGTCAGACTGACCATGCCATAATAGAGCAGGTCTTAACATACAAGTTGGGAACGGAGGATCTGAGCATCACGTAACCACCATCATTGAACAAGGGATAAAGGTCAAACCGATTTGGAATTGGCTTCCCCCTGCCCGGCAGGTAGGGTTTCGTTCGAGTTTTTCACCAGCAGGCCTCCCGACCCGCCCAGCGTGCATATTGCGGCCACCAGGCCCCCTGGTCCACCGAGACTCCCCGAGACCCCCGCCCGTCCAGACTCGACCCGCCCACTCGGCATACCGTTGCCGCCGGATCCCCAGGTTCACCGAGAGTCCCCGAGATCCCTCCTCCTCCTCCTCCTCCTCCTCCTCCTCATCCTGCCCCTGGCTCGACTCGCCCACTTTGCATTCCGCGGCCGCCATATCCACATGTCCACCGAGAGTCCCCGAGCCACCCCCACCCTACTAGCATGACAGGGCATATTTAGTAGCACAGAGCACAACTTGCCATCACATGATAGTAATAACATAACGTATAATGAGATAACAAACCATACCATACCATATCATCACACACCATTTCACCACATAGCATACCAACTCAGCCCATGGCAGAGCGGAGCATCCAGCACGTAGCATAACATTACACGGCATGACATAGCAGCGCAGAGCATACCATTCCATATATAGTGACATAGCAGACCACACGCTTTCACTACATAACATACCATACCCTACCACACCATCGCATAGCACATCAACCATAACATGGCATCTCATAATTTGCATGAGCGCGACATCACATATACTGTGATACCATTGCGTAACATCACTTAGCAAACCTGTCCATACCACACCATGGTATACCCTGCCATACTATACTACATTCCCTGTCGTATCATAACATATAGCGTCATGTTACAACATAGTTGGCTATTCGCTAATCTAGCATCGCAAGTCCCAGCATACCAAGCCATCCTCGTTGTATTGTTGTTACCACAACGACAGCGACTGGAGTCGAACGGCAAAGCCTGCTACACATTGAACAGGAAAGCCGCTACATACCATAACATATAAAACGGTAAGGGCACAACGCAACCAGCATACCAACACAGATGTGCTGTGCTACAGCCAACACTATGACAGCACATCGATATAAGACCGAAAACTACGTTACAAGCGACTAGGCATTGCATGACCTGAACATAGCTTAACATAGCATAGTGTCCAACGTATCCATAAGTAGCGTAACGTAACATAGCGTAACACAGTAACACACCGTTCATCTTATGACAGAGCTGATTGTAACACTGTATACAGATTGTACCACCTCTGGCGAGTAACAACATAACACAACATACCGTACTTTAGTATAATCAAGCGCGCCGTGCGCGCTGAGGTCAGGTTGGCCACAGGAACGAACACGTGCAACAACGACCGATTGGACTATTTATCTAACGTGACAGGCGTCACGACGTCACGCTGGTCCGTCGAGAGCACAACATAACATAACACAATACAGCAAATCAGGGCCTGAGGGGATACAACATAGTTGAACCCGGTCAGATACAACAGCTACAGCTTGATGGCGCCTCGGCAAACGTAACATCCACGCCGACGTAATGCTGGCCACAGGGCAGAAACAGGCGCAGTACCTACTGATTAGACGTCATACCGCCACGATGTCACGCCGCCCCGTAGAGATCAGAACATAACAAAACATATGTGAATAGAATAGGACAGAATCGAGCATCACATCACAGAGTACACTGTAGCAGTGACTGAGTAATGACGACCTATCATACGCGACATGCGCGCCGAGCCTACGTTGTCCACAGAAACAAGCAGTATCAGCAATGACCAATTCGACTACATATGAAACGTGACAGGCGTCACGGCGTCACGCCGGCCCAGCCAGAACAGGACGTAACATAATATAGTGTCATCTACCACGCGGGCAGAATTCAGGCGAATCTAACATTGCACAGCATTGCAAAGCAGCCATCCCTTTACGGCGGCTCATCAAACGAGCATCATAGCATACAGACCGTGCCATCAATCAATTGAGCGCGATGTGCGCGCAAAGGTCAGGCTGGTCACAGGAACTACCAGGCGCAGCAAGGATCGATTGAGCAACGTATCTAGCGTGACAGGCGCCACG